TCCCTGGGAGTTAGGTTAAAAATATGACCAGTTTTGAGTGTCCGGGTAGACCCTCTTTCATCCCTGATAAAATCGTAGGATTCCGTGTTTAGGCCGATTTGGCCGTTTTGTTGTAGGGTCCCTTGGGGCAATCAGGCCATACTCCATATTATATTAATTCTACGTAAGTTTTCGCATAGAATCCAAATCTGAAGTATAAACACACCCTTGCCATTTGAAATTTTCGACGTAGGCCCTCCAAAGCCCCAAAATTTTAGGGGGTTGTGGCCCCCACAATTTTGGATTAACAATGGTCATGAGACACATCAATAGAAAGATATCAATCTCTTCTCTCAGGAGACTTTTAGATTTTGACAATTGGATAGTTTTTGATCGGCAGCTATCAATTTTTCCACACAAATGCGCAAAATTCAAAATTAAATCAATACATACAGTTAAATCTGGCTCTATAGGTAAGACATTATGAATGGAGAGTATGTTTCAAACACGCCGTCAACGCAGTTAGCAGAATAAAAGCGGCTGTATGCGGTTAATAATTCAAAGAGACAGGTTATATTTAAGTTGTTGCAATTTTGCGGAATATAAACTGTAATTTTTCTGACTGAAGCAACTAAAACGGTCTTACTAACGGAGGCAATTAAAAATATTGGCAATTTAGGCTACAGCACGAATAACCACCTTATACCTACGCGTAAAGGTGGTTATTCCCCCACCAGTCCGTTCTAACTATTGTACCTTTGGGTATCCCTAATAGTAATGGCAAGTCGATCTCTTGATTACTCGGCTAAAGAATCCGCTTTCAATGCAGTGAAGTCGGACCAACTGGTGGGTGGAAGGAATAACAACCATTCGAGTAAGGGTGTTTTTGAGCCAATTTGTATCACTTCGTGTTATATGACGGTTACAAAGCAAAATTTGTGTTTTCAATCAATTGAACGGTTATTTTATCTTCAGACTTGGTGTTGAATAGAATAGCCACCTGTAAACGCGTATTCATGCGCATATTGATGTTTTTCTGCCTATTCACGCAATCACGCACTTCATCAACGTCATAGGGCCGTCATGACATTCCATGACTGTCGCAAAGCATAGATTGTATTTTTCAAACAATTAATCAGCCATTTTATTGTGAAACTAGGTGTTGGGGGGAATAACCACCTATAAGAACATGTTTTAAATCAACAATTCTAAAGTGAGAACTGAAATATTTTCCAAAAACGCATAGCGGATTGCTCAAAGGGTATAACCGATTACAAAAAAATGCTTTTGCATCATTTTTATCATTATGATTGAGGTGACTAAAAATCGTATTAATTGCTATCAAAATTTAGGAACACCACGTGTATCAGGGGAAGCCCAGAGTTGCAGGGGCTTAAGCTTTCAAACAAGCAAAATATCCAAATTGGGGTGGGACTCATTATTACTCTGTATAAAGCTGCCTCACCGGCTCTCTCTCTACCCCCCCCCCCCCCNCCCCCCCCAGAGAAAAATTGGCCGCAGCGTTTTCCTTTAAACTTGGTACATGCCTAGCAATTGTCGTGAGGAGTTGATCAAAATTATTCAGATTCCAATCCGCTGCCTAGGATGCCCGCAACAGCGAAAAGTTGTTTCTCCCTATAGTATTTGCATTGGTGATACGCGGTTGTTTACGCGCACCGCGCCGAACAGATTCAATCCTGTCGCGTGACGTCACAGCCTTTATACAGGGTTATCCTAAAGTCACTGACCACCCCTGTAACTTTTTTCCAAATTGAGATAGAAGTTTGAAACTTTGGGAATGTTCCTCGGTCTAAAGTAGCAACTTTTTGGTCCCCCCAAAATTTTGGGGGGCGGCCCCCCTTAAGGGGGGCGGGGGCTAACTTTTTTTTTTCAAATGGCAACCCCCCCTTTCTGATACCTCATTCAAAATATAATAAAAAAAGAAAATTTTTGGCGCAAACCGCAGGTCAAAATGTTCATTTTTGACAAAATGGCGGCCGATCAAAGTTCAAAATGGCGGAAATTTGGCATCTCCGTTGTTTATCGACGGATTGGTGTGAAACTCGGAATTCTAGGGTTTTTTGAGATGAGAAAAACGATTCTGGCATTGGTTTTCCAGAAAAGTGAGTCTTTTGCAAAATGGCGGCGGTCAAAATGGCGGCCTAGAGCGGGAAGTGGATATTTAGGCTGCATATCGTTGGATTTGCATGAAACTTGGTATCCGGGGGTATTTCGGCACGAGAAGAACGAATCTTTCATTGGATATCTGAAATTTTGACAAATTCCAAAATGGCGGCGGAAAAATTGCGGGAAATCAGTTTTACGGCTCTTTACCGATTTTACTCTTTACCCCAAAATTTTGGGGGGACCAAAAAGTTGCCACTTTAGACCGAGGAACATTCCCAAAGTTTCAAACTTCTATCTCAATTTGGAAAAAAGTTACAGGGGTGGTCAGTGACTTTTGGATAACCCTGTAGACGAAATTTAAGGTTTTAGGAGGTACTAGCTGTTCTGGACGCGCTAAGCGCGTCCGTCACGACCAGCCAAGGGGCTGCGCCCCCTGGACCCCCGAGCAATCGCTACGCGGGTGACATTCGGCTCGTTCCGCGAGCCATTTTTCTCAGTGATTTGACATTTGATCACTAAGATGTATACGTTTTGGAGACTCTGGACTTCTGGAGGCAAAAATGATTTCGTCACAGAACCTTGTTGCCGGAGCGTGCCATCATTTGCACATGAATAGATGTGTGGAGATGAAGCGATGATGGGGATCGATCATTTCTTCAAAAACGCATTTGACTGGGATGTCATCCCATTGGGTGGCGGAAAAAGACAATTCATGGATCTCCTTCCGCGATTTGACTTGCTGAAATAGCAAAAGTTCGTCTTTACCTCTTAAGAAGATTATCGGTGGCGTAGGGGTCTAAAAACTGCTCAACGATAGTATAGTTCGAGTCCCGAATCGCAATGAGCCCACTCGTGTCTTTTTCTTATACTTTCATCGCATATAAATTTCTCTGATGTTTTTGTTTTATTCTCTCTGATTGCATATTAGTAATCATATCCTCATTTCATTTCCTTTCCCTTTCCTTTTTCCCTTTCTGTAGCATCTATGTCCATTTACAATTATTATTTTAAAATAGCTTTCCCCTAGTATACAATTGATGCTTCAAACGGAATCAATTGTTTGTTGTTTGTCCGGCTAAATCATGGGTTTTCCCAGGAAGGCAGCCTCTCGTCCCTCCTGGACTCTATTGTTGCCAGATAAGTTGCTTTTTTAGCACTTTTTCCAATCCAAATCCACGTAAAATATTCACATTTATCGCACAATCTGACAATCTTTCGAGTGAAATAGAAAAAGGTAGAATCGCTGAAAGTCTGAATCCTTCGAAGTTTATATTAATGATGATGATTTTTCGACGCATTTTTGTGGAAATAGGTATGCAGGGGTATTTTTCTACGGGGAACTCGAATTTTTGGTCGGATTTTCAAAATTTCAAAATCCAAGTTGGCGGCCGTGGGCTAAAATGCTAGGTCGGCTCCTGTTCGATCGATTTCCGTGAAACTCGGTACTCGGGGGTATTTTTTGACGGGAAACTCGAATTTTTGGTCAGATTTTCAAAATACAAAAAGCAAAGATAGCGGTCCTGGCCTGAAATGCTATCTCGGCTCCTCTTCAATCGATTTCCGTGAAACTCGGAAAAAGCGGGGATTTTTTGACGGGAAACTCGAATTTTTGGTCCGATCTCAAAAATTTTAAACTCCACGATGGCAGCCTTGGCCTGTTATCATGTCTTGGCTTCTTATCGATCGATGTTCGTGAAATTCGGTATCAGGGGGTATTTTTCAACGGGTCAATTTTTGGTCAGATGTTCAACATTTCAAAATCCAAGATGGCGGCCGCGCTACATAATGCGGTCCCGGCTTCCGGAACATCAATTTCTGTAAAACTTGGTGAGGACGAAGATGTTGTCTTCTCATCAATGTTAAAACTATGTGAGGCGGTGGCGGCTCGCGGAGCGACGCGGAGCGAGTCGCAAGTTCCTCGCGAAGAATTGGGGTCCAGGGGCACTCCCCGGCTAGGCGTGTGAGCTCGCAAAGCGAGCAAATCACGGCTAGTTAAATTCCATAAAGCTACTGTACCGAGATTTCATCAACTTTTAACAAAAAAAAAACTGTCGAAGCGATTTCCTTCAAACTTGGCAAGAATGAAGCTGAGAAACACCTCTACATGTCTGAAAAATCAAATTTAGAAAAAAATGCCGCTGAAGCTTAACAAAGAGAAAAGCTGTCTCTCCCTATACTAATGCATAGGGATTACGAGGTTGTTAACGCGCACCACGCCGAACAGGTTCGATCCTTTTGCGTGACGTCACAGCATTACACACGAAATTTCAGGTTTTAGGGGATATTTTTGCACAGTTTTCTCGTGAAAATTGGTATTTGATAATAGTCTTTGACGGGAAACTCGAATTTTTGGTCAGATTTTCAAAATTTCAAAATCCAAGATGGCGGCCGTGGCCTAAAATGCAAATTCGGCTCCTGTTCGATCGATTTTCGTGAAACTCGGTATCATAGACGGTATCATAGACGGTATTTGACGGGAAACTCGAATTTTTGGTCAGATTTTCAAAATTGCAAAATCCAAAATGGCGGCCGTGGCCAAAGTGGCGAAGATTTTATCTTCTCATTATTATTATTATTTTAAAAGTTAATAGCTACGAGGGACGGCTCGCGGAGCGAGGAACCAGGGGTTCAGGGGCACTCCCCGCCCGGCTAGGCGTGACAGCTCGTACAGCGAGCGAAGCACTGTGACTATGCTTTAAAGCAAGCTGAAGTAATCAGAAATGGTGTACGTATTTAAGAAATGAGAATGACCGAAAATTGCTCCGGAGAAATTTTTTTGGAGGACTTGTACTTTATAAAAAAATTTAATTCAGTTCATATACATAACAGTGTTAAGTCAAATCATTTGTTTCTGTGACCCTCATCCCAATTTTTTGGTTTACCTATTTTTTCAGGGGTCGTAACCTTAGCCGAGGAACTTCAACTCCATCAATCCATCGCCTTGTACAGTCATAACAGTTCCAGTCCTCTTCAAATGATTTATTTCAACTGCACGTACTTTTCTCGCTTAGATTCTGCAAATTGTAAATATCGAGAGTTATGTACTTTTTATTTATGTACTGTGTAAAAATGTAATTATATATTATTGATTTTGAAGGGATATTATTGAATTGTTGATTTTTTAGCTCTGTGAATGTACCTCTTCAAGCTATTAGAAACCCTCAGATTTTAGTGTGCCGTTCTAGGGTCAATTGATTCCCATGGTTTGTGAATTTTTTCAATTCTTTTAAAATCCCTCCGTAAAATCTTCCCTCTCCCTAGAATTTTGTGAGTGTTGCAGCAATGTTGTTGAATTGGGCATTTTAGAAATTTTTTTGAAAATTAGATAAGTTTTAAAGAAGGCATTTGCAACAGACTGCATGTTGTCAAATTCTATATTGAATTATCTTGAAACCTTTTAGGAGGGTGGATGAAGAACACCAAGGGCCAATCTTTGACTAACACTTTCTTCAGATCAGAAGGTATCCTCTTAAAGCTAGGTGGTTCTCTCTGATCAGCTTAATTCACTGGAGCTCATGAATTTTAGTACTGGTTTATGTATGTCTATCATTGTTCAACTCTTTCAGATTAATCGGTGAACATCATTTCAACAGAAAATAAATGAAAAATATTGTTGTAAAAATAATGGGAAAAGAAAAGTGAACATTAGGAAGTGCAAAAGAATGTTGAGTTGGAAAGCTTCCTGAGCAGCCACATCTCCTTAATCACTGTCCTAATTTAGTGCCCATGCATTCCATGAAATACCTATCTAACTAATGCTCGCCTAATGCTCTCTACCTATCACAGAAAACCTGCTCTAATGGTGAAACTACCAAACGATGTGTATCAGAAAAACCAATCGTTTATATATGGAAAATACTGTCTTTGTTCCTTTTCCTCAACAATAGGAAGGTAGATGTTTTTTAACACCCTGAAATGTTTTGATATAATCTCAATACTTAAGACGCATGAGAAAATTTAAGTTACATGTTTTACAAAATTGGGACCAACACTTTCTCCCGATATACAAGAAATTAGAATAAGGGATCTGAGCCGGTTTTTTGCTGTTTTTATTTAAACTAATGCCCAATGAAGAGCCTTAAAGAACATCGTGTGTGAATTTACTTACTATAAGCTTTCATGAATTCTGCAAAATTTCTTTCTGTGTTTCTTACTCTCATTCAAAAACTCTATATAAGGAGACCTTACACACGGCAGCTGCATTTGTAGTAACTATGAATTTTGTGGCTCAATCTTTGCTCAGTGAGTCACCATAAACACTAGTTTCGTATGCAGTCTGAAATATTCTCATGGGTATTGACGTTATGTATGTATTATGGGAATTAGTGTCAAGAGACTCATGAAAGTAAAACTATGGCCAGGGAAACTTTCCTATTTTTTTCGGCACAAATATTTTGATGGTAGAAAAGAGACAACTTACCTATAGCTCACCCCTAGCTCACACTTATTCACCTGAGTTAAAGCTAACGAAAATTGAGATAAGTATTTTTGAAAATTTCCCCCTGACCCTCTCTCTGAACTACATCATTTATCACTTCATTCTCATACTATATGTACTAGATATCTCTCAATCTAGAAAACGCAAAAGTTCGGAGGGATCAAATCATACTTTTTTTCCCGTTTAGTAGATCCCTCAATACAGTTTTGGATAGCTTCGTGGCCTTGTAAGAATAAGTACAAGGTAGATTCACACAGGTATGGACAAGTTGAAAATCCGGCCTCTGATTGGCTCTCTAGTGGCCTCTTAACGACCGCCATTTTTATGCTTTCATTATTGTGATTGTTTGGTGATCTATTGGTTATATTGCTCCAGTTTGGTAATAATTCGTTATTTAAGTTTTGGAGATAATTTAATTGTTCCTGAGGATCTTATTACTTACCATTGTTAATGTGCAATAGTGTTTTGATGTTTAAATGGAGCAATACATTCATGAAGTTGAGATTAGTGTGGTCGGACGGGCCCCTTAACCTATGTCACGAGGTCATGTGACACGTACCTACTGAGGCTCATGGGAAATTTTCAATTTGTCCATACCTGTGTTAATCTACCTTGGAATAAGTAACTAGACAAAGTAAAAATGTAGTCAATATGGACGACATGTTGTTGTGGAAAGGATGGGGCATAATCTTATAAAATTAAGTACCTATTCATACTGATTTGACTCGTGTTATCCCTCTCAGTAAACAAAAACTCATTTTGGAAGGGTGTTCACCTAAATTTTAGTCAGCCGTAAAGCTATAACTCTACCTCTAACACAATAGATGTTTTACCAATTGTTGAAGGAAAGGACTAAATCTTTGAAAGAATACAACTTTTAGACTTGTTGAATAAATGAATCAAGTTCTATTTTAACATTTGAGAGGACTTTTTAAGGAACCCCTAAATTTTAAAGGAAGAGTTTGGAGACACTCCAGGTATCACAATGCTAAAAATATACCGCAGCAAGGATCTCTTTTTTCTGTAATAATAGTTTCATGATATGAAACTTTGGGGATGTTCATAGATCATTGATAGCTGTTTGGGGTCCCTCCAAATTTTCAAGCCCCCCCCCGCTCCCCCCGCAGGGAGGGGCTAAGGACCCTACATTTTTTTCAAATAGCAACCCCTCCCTCTTTTGTGACACATCAATCGAAAGAGAATAAAAAATAGAATTTTCGGCGCAAACTCCAATTCAAAATCTTGATTTTTATCAAAATGGCGGCTGGTCAAATTTTTAAATAACAGAAATTCAGGCAAATTTTCATTCGCCAACTGTTAACGAAATCCGCAAACAGTTGTCCTCCGCGTTAGCGAAGTTCGTATTTTCATCAACCAATTAGAGCCTGGTGGCCTGTTTACGAGACTGTTGATGGGTTTCACTCCCTCAACCAGAATCGTGAACAGGTTCGATAACGTGGTATGGAGCACGTTTACGAAACTGCAAGCTGCTGACAAAAATTAAATTACACTTAATTATGGGCGATTTGGCGGGAAAGGCTATAGTTTAAGAGCCAGCTGCATTTTTGGCGCCACTACTCCGTCACGCTTAAAACTTAGTGGAGACGTAGTTCTCACCTCCCTATAGTAACGGACTGGGCAATATCAAACTTCAAAAGTGGTGCGTCTGGCCGCTGCGCCTCTCGAAAAACGGAAAAAGAGCGTGTTTTAATTCGCACAGAAGAGTCACTTTTCGGCTCCTGAAAAGTACTTTGACGTTCTTTCCTAACCTCTAAATTGTACGCACATACAGTTTGGATACAAGTTAATTTAGTTTTAGCCCGGCAGACGAATTCCAGTTCATGCGGCCGACCGGCAGACCCCGAAAATGGCCCCATCGTGCGATGCAATTGAACAAAAAAGCCACTTTTTGGCTCCTTAAAAGTGCTTTTACGTTGTTTTCCAACCTTTATATTGTACGCACGTACAGTTTTTGTACATATAAATTTAATTCTAGCCCGGCAGACGAATTCAAGTTCATCCGGTCGATCGGCCGACCTCGAAATTGGCTCCGCAATGAATACACAATTACGTAGCATGATGTCAACGATTACGGTGTCAACAAACAGTTTTTCTAAGTTGTTGTTGACACCATGATCATCCAAAAATAAAAAATTCTGACTCTCATGAAATATGATCACGGTGTCAACGATCACGACGTCAACGAAACATAAAACTTCCCTCTATAACATTTTTCAAATTTTAAGTCTTATTTCTCGTTTGTTAGGTATTTTCTCAAACCTACGTCACCTATACTAACCTAACCTTACCCAACTTTACATTACAAGACCTAGCCCACTTTCACAGAACTTAAGTTTCCCCAACCTTACCCCACCTAACTTTAACCTTACCTACCTAATCTAACTAATGCCCTGACCTAAACTAACCTAATCTAACTCTACGTGACCCAAACCTCTCCTGTACAATTAATTTTTTTAATTTTCCTCATGAAGAAGATATTCTTGTGTTTGTTGACACCATGCTCAGGGCCCATTTTTGCGTTTTACTGGCTGAGCACGACGTCAACGATCGTTGACTCCAGCATCAGATTTTGGGTTTGTTGACACCATGCAACGTTACCCGATACACGACATTTAAGATTATGATGCAACCTCTCCATGGTGTATGGACTCCACGCACTCAACCCCCTCAAAAACAGGTGCATCAGATTCACAGGTCGTGGAACCCACGCACCAAATTAGAGAGAAACAGAAAAAAAATGGTGCGTGCGGCCCACGCCCCCAGGGGAAATTTTCAGATCATTCAATCGCAGATTTTCTCGATGGGATACCAGAAAAAAAAGAAAACAGAAAAAATCGTCCTTTCCTTCCTTGCTCCTAGCAGGCACTAGGTCCTCTGTACACCGTAAAAAAATTGCAACCTATATAATCAAAATGGTAACGTTAAATGGTGTCAATGATCACCGTGTCAAGAAACAGAAAAATATCTGCCTTATAAATAAAGATTAGAAAATTAACCCTCCATTTATTGCATGCATTAATTTTGGATCAAGGAATTGGAAATATAAATTTTTTTCAGAAAGATCTCCGGATAATCTCTGAAGGTACTTCGCTGTCTTTGAATTGAGAGAGTGTTCCATTATCTCTGATGTCAATAATAAGGCTTGGATTTCATTTAGAGGCTATCTGAAACATTATTACTTTATCCACCTGAACCACAAACTGATGGAGGTGTAAGTAGGTACATGACATAAAGCAAATACAAACCCCGAACTGCTTTTACTTCCGCCTAGTACAAGGAAACAAGGAAATCAGTTTTTCAGCCCAAGCTGGCTAATAAATGATAGGTCGATAGGATTTCGTTTTTTGAGAGCTGGTCATTTTTGGAGACCTCCGTGGGAAAGAGTAATTTTCAGCTCTGAGGGGTAGTTTTAGGGAGCAAAACTTTATGATTTACCTAAAGTCGGTGTTATCAGTGTTTAAACAACAGTGTGAGTACCTACTTTGAACAACCATATGTAAGAAACTTAGACATTATATTTATCTAGAGAATTTTTTTTCAATAATGTAACGGAATTTTAAACCGGTAATTCAAAGAGGTTGTCCCATTTTCCATAGGTAATGACCGCAAGAGCTTTTCCATCCATACTTTCAGGAATCATAAC